CTTTAGTTCCTCGGCGTGTTTGCGTGCACTGCTGTATATCAGAGCGCAGCAGGAGCTCCATAAGGAGGCCACAGCTGTGTGTGATGTGCCCCACCAACATACAAGTGTTGGAAATGGGCTCATGGGGCTGAGCTCGCAGGGAGCCACCACTGATGCTGGCTACGCTTTAATGTTTTTATTTATGGCATAATTTTTGTAGCGTTTGCTTTCGGCATGTGGTGGAGACGTGGCTGCAGAATGCCAGCGGCTTATGTTTTATTATGATCAATATGTAATCAAAATATTACAGGAAATAACAGCTTGTAAAATAGGAATACTGGTTTTGAGCTGCTGCAAGATTAGCATCTTAACATGTAATCATAGGTAATCCAGTGTGGAAATCCAGGATTGTAGACATAAACCTCTGTGTAGATATATGGTTCTGTAACTCTTTGATGACTTCGACACAAAAAGCACAAGACTTGTTAGTGCCTGTTTCACCATGACGCTGCAAAGTCATTTTACACTTTCAGTCTCTATGGCAACTAAAAGCTCATCTTTGGTTGGTAGTTAGATGTCATTTTGTGTGGAGCAAACAGCGTATGCTGGAGTTATTACAGCCATTACAGTAAAAACAGCAGCCTGCCACTGCTGCAGCACAGTTATTTAGATCTGCTAGTGGAGTCACTGTAATATACAGTATATGATGAAACTGCACATAATGTTGGATTCATAAGATGAAATTATATATTTTTTTATCAGAGTAAAAAATTCAAAGGCCAGGCTGTAGTTGTGCAAGTATTTTTTTTTTATTATTGTTTAATTATAAAGTGGGCCTAATGCCAAAAAAAAAAAGGATTGGAAACACTTCATTTTTGGTTTTGTGCAATTGAATAAGAATTTTATGAAACAAGTTTTTAAAAACTCTGTTCATTTATCCAGGTCCATTGGTTTTACTGTAGAAATGATCAAATGCTAAAACACTCTGAAATGGCCCTTTAGACCAGCAGTAGTAAGAATATATCAAGCACATGCTAACTTCACCACTGTTGGCTAACAGTTAGCTAGTCGCAGTGTTCTCAAAATGCACAGAAAGCTTCCCTGCCTTCTGTGCCAAAGGTCTTATTTTCTGCATTAAAAAGAATAATAGAACAGAGCTGGATGCTTCCTTCCTGCTGTTTATAACAGAATACTGTTGGCTAGCCCAACAAACAAAACTACTTCCTTTCTTACTTCAAAATAAGAGCCTCAAACGAAGATGCTACATTGAATCAAGCTTAAAGCAAAAACCTTCATAACCACATTTTCTAATAATAATAGCTTATATTGACTTTACTTTATAAAGTTATGCCGGCACACTACATCGCTAGACAGAATTCGCTTTTTAATATCTACACTTATGGTATACTGCACTTCCGATATACAGTGCTAATACAGTTTTTATTTCCCTAAAAATGTCACTTGCATGTACTCCAAACCGGAACTTGACGGAGGAAACGTCGTCATGTTTTCCGTCTGGCACAGAGCCGTAGATCACATCTGCCTCGCAGCTCATCTCCGTGTCCAGATTGTAATTCTGTCCTGCAACCTGGCAGCCGGCACCAACAACAACCACAGTTCACCGCAGCCAAGAATGCAAACTGGCAGAGGGCTGATCAGGACGAACCTGAGGTGGTGACATGAAGCCTTCGCAGATGATTAAAAACTTTGGCAGAGATATTTTATGACCCAATAAATAAATGATACACTTGGATTGGTTAGCCGTAGATAAAGATAGTGTTGGGTTGTTTTCACACTCGATAGTTATTTTCAGGTGGTGTGGTTCACTTTCTAGACAGATTAGAGTTTGGTTAAAGCAGGCCAAACAGGGCTTTTGTGAATTCACAGAAGGACTTTTCTCTTGGACTTTAGCTGCTTTCTCATTCTCTTTTAGTCTGGAGCATAAGAAATCTCCAGAATTTGGCCAGGCAACATCTTCGGTGTATATGTTTTGTGTGTGTTATTGTTTCTTGAAGGCCTTACTTTGCTGTACAAAGACAGAACAATTTAGCAATGAAATTCCAAAGAAAAACCTTGAAAGGCTTTCAGAACACTTAGATAGAGGAACACTTAGAGATTTTGTTAACATCTTGTTTCTTTTAAGGAAGGCACAATGAAGATGGCTTAATGTTTGTACAGTGTGCTGTATGTAGACTGCGGGGAGGAACTGTGCATAAAGGACATGCTACTGTAAGAGTTCAACACGCCTGACTTGCTTTTCCTCAGACAGAATCTGCTCCTGAGATGAAATGTCTTTCAACAGGCCTGGCAGACTCCAGTCTGCTGAGTTTGCACCCAGTACGCCCAGAAATATGAGGCGAGTGCAGAATGTTGCTGAGTGGAGGGGTTTGCAGGCTCCCTTTTCTCCCGCTTTGCCCCTGAGCGAACCTTTTCATCTGATTCGTGTTTTTAGCACACGGTTACAACCGTGCTCCGACGTCTCCTGGTCTCGCTGCTTCGCTGAGAATCGTCCCGATACTCTCCGAGGAACGCTTGCACACCACCTTGAGTTTTTACAGGTCAAAATGACGGAGGTATGAAAATGAAGGCACTTCTCTTTTTTTCTTTTTGCTTGAAAAGATTGTGCCTTAAAGCTTTTAGGGAGTGCAGGCCTTTGAAAATGAGCTCAACATTTTTCAGACGGCACCTTCAGTTACTTTCGCCCGATCTGGCAGTTCCTCCCACACACATTCTGGTGGAGGGATCTTGAAGGGAAACGCCACGGGGAAGAAAACCACAGTTCGCGAGTGTTAACAACCGTGTTGCCGTGTCTGAATGCGCCAATCTTAGAGGGGAGCTGAGGCCGCGGCTCTCTGCAAATGATGGGTGTGAGATGTGGATTTAGATGAATTTAAGGACACAAGTTTAACTTTACGTTTCCGTTACCTCCCAAGCACAAAACTCATCCACTCCCCTCTGTTTTTTTTTATTGTTATTTTTTATTCTGCTATAATAAACAGTTCCAAAGGAGGAGCATCCACTTCCATACTTACACTAAGCTTTGTTTTATGACGGTAAATGTTCTCCGAGCTTGGCTGGTCTGTGTGTGTTTCTCCTACAAGGTTCCTATATAATGGTGCCCACATAAATAGAAGGGTTTTCATATAAAAGCTGGCCTCAGAACACATGAATAAACACAGTTACATTCCATTTCATTTGAGCCTGGAGGCTTTGGAAGACGAATCTGAAATGTGCTGTGGTCGAGGATAAACAGGCTGTTGTATTTATGTAGGATTGTTTTACTCACTACCTTCATATCTTCTAACTTTAGGCATGGTGAGGAGAAGTTTGGTTCGACTTTTATGTATAGCTAATCTGTAAAACTCATGCCCTTCATTTTGGGGTTTTGTTTTAGACTCCTTAACTCAAAGGTGACACATTTGACCGCTGCAACTTTTTACATAAGCACATTTGTAAAGATCATGTAAAGTAAGCTATGATTAATGTATTTTTGTTTTCCTTGTATCTTAATAAAAAAAACACAATGATTTTTTTCCCCCAAGATAAGTTATCAAAATCAGATAACTTATTATCTGATTTTGATTATAAGTTATCTGTGGGGATAACTTATTATCCCCCACAACACAGTTGTGGTTTCTTATATAAAACTTATCTTCCTTCTTGAGATTGTTTTTTTTTTTTTTTGTCTGATTTTCAAATGTTTATTGCAAAGCTAACCCATCCTGAGATTGTGGTGGCAGTTGATTTTTCTCTTTTTTTTCAAGCCTCTCTGACCTGAGCTGTCGTTAATTATTGATATATTTTTAATTAGTAATTTACAACAAATTAAAAATGATTTGCAAGTGACAAATTTTCAGCAGAATTTGCGATTAGCAAGATTAGCATTGTTAGCAAGGTTAGCATTACTGGCTCACAATCTGTGTGCTAAAACAGTTTCCTCTGTCCATGTTAATGCATATTATGACATAGTTGGTGTTTGAACTAAAAATAAAAAATAGGCAGTGACAGCCATTTTTAGAAAGCGTCTTTCTAAAAATTTTTCAGATTTTTGCTATTCACAGGCGAATGTTTAGCTTTGTGTTGTTCCAAATATATACAGTTTAATTTCTGGAAGTGGCAGCTAATTTCCAACGGCTAACTAGTCTTCTTTCAATAGTAGCGTCTTCCACACCAAAGAGTGTTGCAGTTAGCGCAATCTGGTTGTATTTAGCTATGGCGCGTCCACGGTTGAAATCTTAGGTTTCTGAGCTCAAATTTGTCCGATTCCTTTCACCACCTGATCGTATCGGTTTGTCTCTGCTTCCTTCAGGAAACTTGAACAGTTTAAGGGCTTGTTGTTCATTTGTCACCTCTGTATAATTGTACAGCTTTGTATTGCTCTGGCTCTTTGTGAAACACTGATGAGCCTATTTGTTTGAAGTAAAAAAAAAAAAAAAAAAGAAGCCCTTTGATGGATGAATTTGATTTCAGTTTTTATTAGAAGCCTCTGCCTCCCTCCCTCGCTGCGCCTGCTCTGTCTAATAGCTGATAAATGTAATTAGGTTTCCATCAGAGAGAGGAATAATGATCCACTGTGGCTGGACGTCTTGTGTGTTAGTGAGATAAAACTCCCTCTCAAATACTCGGGATCAAACTTGAAAGTCGGATCAATAATCTCTCCTTGTGTTCTCCTGTAATGCTCGAGTGTTTTTCGGCGGTGCTGCTCTCGTGTTGCAAAGTGGAACATTTTCGACTATTCTTTCTGAAAGGAATGAATTCCTTCCAGCCATTTTCTGCCAAGAGATTCTCTTCATGTTCATATTTTTGAAGCTTTTACTGAAAACAAAACGCTTCGACCCGAATTTTCGGACATTTGGAGGTGTTGTGCATCATGGCAACCACAAGCGTCTTTTCTCTCGTTGAGCAGAAGGACTCTGAGATAACTTTTTGTAATGCGTTTGCTGGCTCCTCCACAAAGCCCATCTGCCTCTTTTGCCCTGCCAGCGGTTCCTACCAGTTTGTCCCTCTGTGTTCCCCTACAGGCTTCGAGCTGCTGTACCAGCCCGAAGTGGTGAGGCTCTACCTTTCTCTGCTGACGGAGAGCCAGAACTACAATACCCTGGAGGCGGCTGCAGGGGCTCTGCAGAACCTCAGCGCTGGACAGTGGACTGTAAGTCCTCGGGTTGGGAGTGGTACAAAGACAAGACGCCGTGTTCAAACTGACTTTTTGCTTAATTGCACACTTTCTGCAAACTTTGATGTTGGTCGTGGCCTTTCGGTGGCGAAACTTTTTCAGCTGGAAGCACCAATTAGGGGTAAATGGCATCCCACTGCGCTTTAGCGGAGGACAGGGACGATAAAGCCCTAAATGCAGCAACGGAGCTGAGCTAAATGTTAAACTGGATGTGCGTTTTACCATAAAGGTGACTGGTAGAGAGCTAGGAGACTAAGGACAAGATAAGTTAATGGACTTTGATCAAAGAAAAAAATAAATTCCCAGGGTTTCTGCACAGTCTGGAAAACAATGGAATATGACTGAAGTATTTTCCAGGCCTAGCTAACTATCAGAAACCAAAATAAGGCATCCAAATCTTTTTCCTTCCTGTGCAATTTTGAGATGTCTACTTTGTATAATATCTGTCATAAATTAAGAGAGAACCTTCATGTTGAAGAACTCAAGAACTTAAAAGAACTGAAAAAACTGTTGAAATCCTGACATAAAAAATATGTAGGAACTTTGGATTTTTGTGAGGAAAGTGGAAATGAAATGTAACTTATTTCCCACCAAAGATAATTGTAGTGAAATTGGCAACTTTTGCACCAGCTGTAGGCGATATGAAATTAAAGTTGCATCCTGATATTTTGTGGTGCTGTTGTGATGATGATTTTAGGTAACTGTATGGCTGCGACTGCATTACAGAGCAATAATAGCCCCACAAACACAAAAACTGCTCCTGAGAAACATTTAAAATTATAACCATTTATGAGTGTGATTTGTATCACTACACTTCACACAGTATTTAATCATTTTTTTCAAATTTATTGATATTCATTCACACCATCATTGAGCAAACTGTGGATAAAATCCTAAAACTAACAATCCCAACAATGTGAACAGTTTTGGCAGAGGGTATCGCTACTTGGAATTTACAGTGACAACAATAAATCCAAATTCTTACCATAAGAAATTTATCTTGATAAATAATAAACCATACAATAAATCCCAAGTCCTATTTTGCAGGCCCAGTCTATGAAGAGGAAAACATAAAAAAAGAAAACGGTGCAATCTACCTCAGGACTTCCCATCTGGTTGAAGTGATGTGATTAGATAACAGCCGTAGCCCTCACTCATTCCCAGGGCTTTCTGCGCTGGATGAGGAGAGTGGCTCTCCAGCAGCAGTCAGGTAGTCACTCCAATCAGAGCGGTTGTGGAGCCGCTGAGCAAGAGGCTGCAGTAAATTATTATTGTGGAAAGGCTGGCTGTCGAATGTTACGCTAGGCACCTCAGGCGAGAGCGGTCACCTGCGCGCCTCGGCAGACGGGTCGCACTCAGCCTGCCGGGGCGTCGGCGCCGGACTGCCTCTCTTCAGCAGACTGCCTTCCTCCATCCTTCGCTTTGAGCTCCAAAAATTCCTCGAGTTCTCCAGGATTTGAACTTTATGTTCCTGTGGAATGTTCTCAGTTTTGACACAATTTGGTATTGACTTGCAGTTAAGATATACATTGGCTTCCTGTTGAATTAACCGCAATAATAGCTGTTTTGTTTTTTTGTTTTTTTTCCCTAATAGCACGTTGGAGTCTCTGACGCACTGTTGTTAACACAACACATCCTGATCCTTGAGAGAATATCAGAGATTTTCAACTACACTCATTCCCCGATTTTTTTTCTTTTTTTCCCCTCCTTTTCTCTCATGTTTTCCACAGCTCACTACTGCCACCTGGTGGCTCAGGCATTCCCATTCTCTGCCTAATTGCATCTCTTGGGGTAGCAAAGACCTCTTTTATGTCAGAGTTAATGTTTCATGCTACAAAAAACAAGAAGTAAAATCCAGTGATGTTTAAATTCAGACAAATTAAAGCGCGTGTCCGTTCAGAGCCCCGCTGCGCGGTGAGTTGAGCAGAAGGAGAAGCCAGACTGGCAGCTGCAGAGTGAGTGATGTGGAGTGTTTGTGTAAAGATTACACCCCTGATGTCTTCCAGTGGTCCAACTACATCCGAGCCACAGTGCGGAAGGAGAAAGGTCTCCCCATCCTGGTGGAGCTGCTGCGCTCCGACTCTGACAAGGTGGTCCGAGCCGTGGCCATCGCTCTGCGCAACCTTTCCATCGACCGACGCAACAAGGATCTAATAGGTATGGAGGATTTGTTGCGTCAGGTGCATTGAGACCGTGTGGGCGTATTCTCCTTCATGTTAAGATCGAAAGACCACGCTGGACACACCTTAAGATTTAATCATGATTTGGAATGAATTCGTCTTCACCGTTTTGCTTCAAAAACCCCTTCACCTCACAGGAAGTTACGCCATGCGGGACCTCGTCAGCAACCTGCCCAGCGGCCAGCAGCGACCGGCCAAGAACCTGGAGGAGGACACCGTGGTCGCCATCCTCAACACAATTCACGAGATCGTGACGGACAGCTCGGAAAACGCTCGCTCCCTCATCCAGGCCCAGGCCATCGAGAAGCTGGTCGCCATCAACAGGACCAGGTGAAGATTTACGAAATACTAATACCATTAGTACATTGAAAAGTGGGATATAGCAGCTTCCACAAATAAGAACCTATAAAGTTGCTGTGTGTTTATAGGACAATACTTTGCAGAAGTACTTCTGCAAAAGGCTAGCAAGAAGAACATGTTAGTCTTAATCACTCGTTCTTATCCCATAGTTTCTTAGTTTGATTTAAGTCTGGACTGTTGGATAGTTCTAGCACATCAATGTGGCTCAAGATGCTATTTTATGTTTGAATAACTTTGGCTATAGCCTAACTCCTTTTAGCATGACTTGCACGCATTGATGGCCAGCGTTCCATCAGATCGGTTTTTTGACGTGAAGATTAACCCCCAAAGATGAGCGCCTTTGTCGTCCATCGCTGTTGTTTGCAGATGTCGCTTTTTCGTCAGATTTACAAACATACCAGAAACATGCCAACGCTTGGAACTTTCCTATGTGGGGGGAAAAAAAAAAAAGGTTTAAATTGCATTAAACTTTTTAACACGTTAAAGCCTGTGGGGTTAATTATCAAAATGAATGTGTTAAAGTGCTAACGCTAACTATATCGTGTTGTTGTAGATGGAGCTCAGTGCACTTTTTCACTTTTTTATTTCTGTAAAAATGTTTCAAAACCATGCGTTGTTTTTTTGTCCACTTCATAATTATCCACTGATATGTGGGACCAAATGTAAGAGTGCAAATTCTTACCTAGCATTTTTTTGTCTAGTTTCTAGTGCAAATAACAGTTTAAAATAAGACAAAACTAACTGACAAGCAACTTTTAAGAAAAATATAGGAGCTTGTTTTTAGCCAAAAATCACCAGCTCCACTGGCAGATTTTTTCACTTACGTTATGGGAAAAATGTCTTGTTACAAGTGGAACTAGTATCGCTTCTTTTAATCCATATTAAAGTATTATTGTCTTAAAACAGCCTTCTGTATCTTGCAAAAAGACATTTCTTGAAAGTTGTGTTTGAAAGCGCACTGAGATATTTACACTGGAAACTGGACATGAATACTTGAAAAGATTTCATGTGTTTGTATTGTGCAAGGCACAGACGATCACACTGAGCCAGACTCGGAGAGAGTGTGTTTATTTAAGCCAATCACGTAGGAGTTTGTGTATGAAAGAGACGTCAGATGCGTGATAATTCTAGCCGGGTCTTGAAAACTAGTTGCATCAGGAGCTTTTCATTAGCATTCATGGAGGATAACATAGCTCATCTCTAATAGTTAAGACTCTGCCTTTCACACTGTGGATAGTGTGAGCCTGCACACATTTCTACCTACCACAAATTATTTAACAGGCATTTACCTCTGGAGGCAAAGTTCTCGGTGGTGGAGCTTTGAATCTGCAGATTTCAGGCTGGTTCTGAACACTAGAGGACTGACCTACCCCACGATACCCTCTTCTTTTACCAGCCCTGCTCAAAGACCTAATATTGCGTTAGGACGTTTTGATCATATTGGCAGCTGCTAACCACCGCGAATACACATTGTTCTGTCTCGGAACAATAAAAGCTTGGGTTTCTGTTTGGCCTCCTGAGGTCAGCTTTCTTTGATGCGAGCCACCCTCCAAACCACTTTTTAATTAATACCGCAGGCTCAGAGGTAACTAATGAAAGGAAACGTGCCCTCATCTGGTTATGAATGAAAAACAAAAGCGGAGCCCGAAGCCAGGCGTGGAGGCAGAGCCTTTTGAATAAAGAGATTGATCGCAGCCGCACAGGATCCATCACAGCGACTGTCACCGTCAGGGGAGACAGGGGAGTTTCGATCGGCTTTCTTGCTCTTGTAATTCCTCATTTGTCCACTGCTTTTATTTGTCTCACCCTCAGCCAATCGGCTCGCGAAACAAAAGCGGCGTCGCACGTCCTGCAGACGGTGTGGAGCTACAAGGAGCTGAGGAACGCTTTGACTAAGGACGGTTGGAACAAGAGCCACTTCCAGGTACCCGACTTTACTTTGGCGCAAGTTTTACTTCCTGCTCTGCACTGGAAGAAAGTTAGCGGTTAGGTAGCAAAACTTAACCTAACGTGGGTAACGTAAATTTATATACATATTCTTTATACATCATTCAGGACTTCAATGATGTATAAAGTTATGACGGAAAATAGAGTTGCCCTATTTTTCATATCAGTCAATTGATACTTAAAAACAGAAAGGAAAAAATATCTACTTCTTAGATGGCAGTCGTGGTTTTGGATCTAATAGAAATGAAGAGACTACACGGTACACGTCCCTGACCTTTAAATTGTAAATGGACTGAACCTGAAAAGCTTTATCTGATTTTTACTTGCACACAGTAGAAGTTGATGGAAGTGACTGTAATTTATGCTTTTATCAACAAAAATTTGGGGAGTTCTTAGTTTGGATCCAGCAAATCAGTAGGAAAAAAAACTTTAAACTTTCAGTGTTTTATCTGCCAGTCACTGATCAGAGCCGATTTGGGGAAATCAAACCGGGATTGTGATGAATCTCTAACGCTCAGCATTAATAGAGCTGACTGTCACTATCATTGATGCCCACACCTGATTACAATCCTATCAGCCAAGATCCTACACCTAAAGAGTTATTTAGCAAAACATGACATTTTTAGCACTTTATTTGCTCTCATCAATTCATAGAATAATTACTAGTATGTCCTTCAAAGCTACAATCTGCATAAATTTGTTTAAAAAGCAGCATGACATTGCTTGCTTCGTCTCTTTTACTCAGCCCACTGTGACGGCCACACCTAAAGCTACCAAGAACGGCAAACCAGGTTATGATGACACCACTCTGCCACTGATGGAGAAGAACCAAGGTCTGTGTGTGTGTGTGTGTGTGTGTGTGTGTGTGTGTGTGTGTGTGTGTGTGTGTGTGTGTGTGTGTGTGTGTGTGTGTGTGTGTGTGTGTGCGTGTGCGTGTGTGCGTGCGTGTGTGTCTAGCTATACTACTTTGGATCATTTCTGACATGCTAACCTTCTGAAGACCGACGGGCTTCATGGGGACCAAAATCACGTTCTGGTATTGTAGACGACCTTGTTCAGAGTTAGGGGTCAGAGGTTTGGGTTAAAAGGTAAGGTGGAAATTAGGTTTTGGTTAAGGTTATGGACAGGTATAGACTAGTATTAGTTGGGCTGGGGGGAAATGTCTGTGTTACGTATAAAAGCAATTACTAAAATGAATGGAAGTCGATACAAAGTCTTAATGTGGGTAAGAAGGGGCTTCAGGTTGGTTTTAGTGGAAAGAATTGGAAATGTTCTCGAGAAGAATGTACATTTTAAGGCCAAAACTGAACTTTTTTCTGCTATTATCAGAAAATCTTATTTGCTCACCAAAAAAATTAGTTTTGCTTAACCACAATTACAAATTCAATCACATAGTAAAATGATATTTTTAAGAAAGATTGAAAAGGTCTCATAAGAATCGTGTTTTAACTCCGTGCTTTGCTGAATATTGTAGGAGCCAAAATGCCATTGCAGTAATTTACTTCAGCTCAGTTAGTGGCAGCCCTGCCTGTAAATAAATTAAACATCTTTTTGACTGAAATGCCAGTAGCAAAGCAACAGATTACCATCCCACATTTTGGCAGCTTGCTGTTTTACTCTTTGCATCCATTCGGTGACACTCGCGTCTTCACACTCTCTGTTTGCATTCTTTGGTTTGTGGCCAAACATCATCACCCTGGAAAGCTCCAGCATTTTGCCTCTGCTGCTCTGTTTGTTTACATCTTTGCTCCAAATGGCACGAATTGTTTTCAGGCACCATTTGTCTGAGAGGTGTCGCATCACTGTGCACATTGTGCCACTGGTGACAGGACACTTTTAGAGAAGCTGGGTTTAGGTAAGAGCCAGGTTATACGATAGCCCTCAGACAAAAAGGGAACTGTCTTTCTACTAATCTTTCTCCAGCATCCGATACTTCCGGCATCGATACATTGTCCGATACTCGATACTGCAGCACCGTTAAGGCCTCAGGAACAGCGCGCTTTGATGAGTTTAGGAAAGGAATCTGTTTGCTGTGTTTTACATATGTTACAGTCACAGTTGAATACGTTTTGAGAAATCCGTCATACTATTACGACGATATCATTCTTCATTACAGTTCTACAAAAAGTAATCCTTCTGTTTCATAAACTTTGTGTTTTGCATGGAATGTGATAAAACCTAACGAGTGTTTCAGCTGTGCTCTCCCACACTCATCTAGCATTTCAGACTCCAAAGTAAACCATATGACAGACAGATGGGGAGATGCATCAACCAAACTGGCTTCTCTTTCACCATAAACATCTTTGTTTTTTAACTGTCTTTAGCATCTTATAATAGCAATTGGTTAGCACGGCTAGTACGGTGAAAACAGCAGTCTGTGTGTTCCTGTAGAAAATATAACTCCTTACCTTCACGCTGTGACTACCTAAAGGTTGCTAACATTTCTGAATCTCCATGTTCCATAACAAACAGAGGTTACTTTGTTTAGTGTGCTGACACGTCTTGGTATGTTGCATAAAACACAATTTCTCATTAAATCGTCTCGAACGTCTGTGTTCTTCCTCTGCTGTAAGCACTTTGCTAATCCTTAAAAAAAATATGCAACTTTGAGTCCCCTTTGCTCAGTAACGACTTCCAGATGGAAGCCCTCCATGGTTAGCAGATCCATTTTGTGGCACCTGGGTATGTCGTGTTAACGAATCATAAAAGAGATCAAATTTTTTGCCGTTCCGACATCGGTCCCTGGTGAGGGCTGATCAAGCTGAAAGGCATCCGACTCGAGTCAACAGGTGATTCCTCAATCTGTCTCTAGAAATGGATTTTCCATAAACAACCTGGTGTGCACTTTGTTAGTTTTCAGTGTAAAAATGACTGGTGTAAAACAATTTGACAAACTATTGACTGTAACGCCAAAGTCCGACGATGGAAAATTGATTAGGGTTTGACCCAAAATAGCCCGAGTGTTTTCCGAACACAGACATACCATCTGTTTTGTGTTCAGCGTTCCATTACCTCAAACTGTGAGTGTGGACGCATGTGTAATCTTCTTGTTTATGTTGGAAAACCTTTCCAGTAAGTAAAGGGAAAAAAGCTTTGTCTCTGTGTCTTGGAAATCTTTAAACAAATGACACCAGTCGGAGGAATGAGCTGACCACGGTTCTCTGATCTCATCAGACGGCTACTCCACCATTGACCAGAGGGACAAGGACTGCAAATACAAAACAGACGACGGGTCGGCGGACCTGACAGAACGGGAACCATTAAAGGTACGCACAAGCCTCCTCTCGTCTCCAACAATGATATCGCACAGAAATATTGCCCCTTTTCCTCTGCCCATGTGTCTCTCCGTTCTTTCTACGGTGGTCCTCATTAGAAGCTCTTAATTCTATCGACTCTTCAAACAGGCTGGAAAGTCATCATCCTTGGTTAACGCTGCCACCGCAGCTCAGTGCTGCGGACGCCCTCAGATCTCTGAGACACCAGTTAATTGCCCGTAAGCTTTTGGAGTTCATAAAGCAATTAATCTGGGGCTGATTAAAAGAACCGCCAACAAGCATGCTGTCCTGGAGACGAGCCTTGTTACAGAAACGAGCGCGCCGGCAAACTGTCGAGAGGTCGTCTGCTGATTATGCAGCCGGAGCTTGTTTATTGTCGGGCAGAGCGAGAGGATTATGGCCGCGGAGGACGGCCGACATGTCGGATGACTTTCAAGTACTTTTTGGCTGTTTAGTTTTCATCTAGTTAAGTGTGTGATGGATGAGATTGGCCTTGTGGGAAAATGAAAAGTCTGCCTGCGTCAGTTCATCTTATACATAAATTAAGGTTCCTGTATTTACTTCTGAGGGAAGGTTTTAGGTAATTCTGAGTCGTATTAGAAGTTAGTTGCACGTGTTTACTGGAAAAAAAAAAAAAAAAAAAAAAGAGCTAAACATTTTTTTGGTGAGAGCTTACTGATATTAATATATATGTTTTATGAGGTTTAGAAAGAAAGTGCATCCTTTTCCGTTCTGCCTGACCTCAGATGACTTATCTTACATGCGCTCTGGTGAAAAACTATCTACTTCCACCACAGTGGGTTTTGGATTTGATTATTAGTTAGATATGATGTTTACATTGATTGTTCACAACCTCACGGCATCATATCAAGGCTCGTCATCAGGCGTGCGCAGCTGCGTCTGTCTTCTCACAGACTTTGAGACTAGAATGGTGAGAAACTAGAGGCTTTTTCAGCAAAAACCAGTGATGTCACAGGTGCATACTTTACTGAAACTCAACTATGAGCTAAAAATAGCCTTAAAGCAAAATGAATGGTGGTGCAGTTGTCCTGTTGACCTTTTGCAACTGTGTCACCTAATCAATCTTAGGTTTTAATGATGCATTCAAACTGATTGCAGGATGGAATGATTGCGCAACCAATATCTGTGGTAATTCCCAATAATCCACCAGGATCAAGCTTGTACACAAAAGCTTCTACATACTGAAATATATGCACTTTAATTTGTGCTTTAACGCTCCTTTTCAAATAGTCACCAAAGAAATCAGGCATTTTTTGTAGACATAAACGAACGTCTGGCATAACTCTGCCATGTTTGAAATCTTGTCTAATGAAAAATAATAGATTGCATCGAAGCTGGTTGGTTTTATGGCACAAACCAGACTTTTAATAAATATTATCCACCTGCTTTATCAATGCTAATACCAGTTTTGATGTGGGGGGGCCTTAGCATGACACCCAGACTGCCATGCTCAACAGTTGGGGTAGTGTTGAGCTTCACCTTGACTCCTGCAAACATTCTTCTTGTTACTGTGTCCAAACAGCTCCATATGCATCACTGACTATGTATATATACATATTTTTGTTTTACAGTTGGTAGAAAACTTTGTTCCTCCTAAAGCTTAAACCAGTTTCTCCAAGATATTGCAAAGTTGTTTTTTTTTGTTTGTTTTTTTGTCATTGCTGTGGCGTAAAATTGCTTTACAGAGAAGCAATTTGTTCTTTGACTTGATCCTCGACCTGCTTTGAATTCAGCTTCTGTCTGTTGATTTGTATGTTTTGTTTTGCTGTTTTCTGATTTCTTCTCTCCAAAGCTCTCCTTCTGGCAGGAAACTAACTCTGATGCATGTCTGTTTTTAAGCCTTTATATAAAATGTACTGATCTCTTGTTTTTGTTTTTTTTTGTTTTTGTTTTTTTGCTTTTTGTTTTTCCTAACTCGCCCTCCCCATGGCGACAGAATGACACAAATAGGAAACACTATATCAGGAGTAACAGGCCTGCAGTCAGTCTGGTGGACGCTTGTGATGTTAAACCTCAGCCTGTTGACTCCTGGGTATAAGTGCATGCATGGTAGGTCCCTGAAAAATCAAAAGTACAAACTAAAGCACTACGCTGCACCTTCTAGATTTGATCCTTACACCATTTTCATCCCACCAAGTTCATGATTTCATCCCCCCCACCCCCTTTCCTCACCTCTCACTGCAACATGTAGAATATTTTATTTTGTCTTTGATCAGCTAGCTTAAACATCCTTCTGCACTGCTCACTGAAAACAGACTCCAGATCAGCTGACACTCAACTTTTATGAGACCCATTAAGCAACAGCAATCCCTGAATCAGTTCAAAATGATCAGATCCAGTGACATAGAAAGGCTAAAAAGCTGGTTCTGTTGTGGAGACGACTGGAACATCTGCAGATTATTGTGCAGAGAAGGATTCTTGAGAAAAAAATCAAGAAAATTCGTCTAGACAAAGCTTAGCATCCTCTTCATGAGACTGCTAGACAACAATAGTACTTGTGTTTCCATTCACCTTTAAATTGCACAAATTGGAATTCTGAAAATAAATTTGCTTAATGGGAACCCTTGCAATTTTGAAAAAACTTTATTCAGTAAAATGGTTTTTGCACCAACATGACATGGTTTTCTGGCTAATCTAAAATAATTTATTTGGGAAAACTATTTTTTTTCGCATCACACGAGTCATTTGATCAACAACCGGATGTTACTACTGGGGGAAAAGATGAAGAAGACAACAGGAAGTGGTACAAGTATGATGGAGAAGGATGTTTTCTTAATGACTTATTGTGTGAACAAACTTGTAGTTAAATTTACGTGTAATTTTAACTGCATTTGTTATTTTACGGAAACTCCTCGATTGCAAAATTGTGTTTATTATAAATTTTTTAGGCATAAAAGTGTATTCTCATAGTATTATAACTTTATTCTCATGATTTTATGACTTATCCAATTTTTTTTTATTTGTATCACCCAAATATCTTATAAGCTAGCGTTATTTAAAAACAGAAATAGTCGAACAGACACTAAATTCATCCAATCAAATGCGGCTTTTGAGATGACATTCTCATCCAATCGCGTCGCTCTTCAGTTTGTTCATCCATTCAGACACGGTCCTTGAGAAACGCCATGCTTGTTTTGGTCACTCGTCCAGTCAGAAACATCGACTTCTTCTTCTCCTACATCCCAAAGCCTGCAGCGCAATACAACCAACATTGGCCTTGTAAATACTCCAGCAGACCTCTCTTCTCTGTTTCACTCACCAAGCATTGACAGAGTTTGGTCTCTGTCTACAATTGGACTCCGCCTCCCTCATTGAAATGTACGCCCAGCGTCTCACTCTCCCGACGGCCTCTGCTGAACCGGCGATAGAGAGAGGGGAGTCATGGAGTCATTCTTCTTCTTTCTGTAGAGATCCTCCAGGGCACTCGGGTGGCTCTTAATGAAAGTCTCCTGGGAGAACCATCCAGATATGCGCAGGAAGCCCTGCCTGTCTGCAAAAAAAAGAAAAATCAAAGTGGTACAAAATGAGTTTCTCAAGGTTGCCAGCTGATCAGGGTTTGACCTCTGCTTTTCTCGTTGTTTCATCAGCAGCGTGCCTCTCCTCCTGCCTCCTCATCCTGATTTCCGTCCTCTTATCAGCCGTCATTCATTCAGTTCTTTGTTCCCATACATTGTGCTGTCATAGTAGCTCATACAGTAAAGTCGCATGTTTGTTTTTATATTTTGTTCCTCTTCTTAGAAAAAAAAAAAAAGAAAGGTAAGTTGTGTTCTCGCAGGATTTCATCCAGAACATGAAGCATCTGTTCAGCCATCTTTGGCTCTCATCTGCACTGCCAAGGCCGAATCAATAACAGTGATGACTTTTAAAGGGCTTATATCAACATTTCAGTGATAATGGGGCTTTCATCTTGCTCTAGTTGTATTAATTTCAACGAGTAAAATAGAGAACAATTTGGGGGGGGGATGGGAAACGATGTCAGCGGAGAATTTGGTTGAAAGTTGCGACAAGTTGATGTGATCAGTTCTTTAGTTGGATATAGGAATTCAAAATCCAAAACAGGAGCTCGCATTTTATTTTTGATCTCAGTTGAAACACTACGCTGTATTCAGTTTCATACTGTTCAGCAATGTGAAAGCAAGAGAAGTGAACAAATATTGAATATAAAGTCAACGTAGATTTTTTTCTCCTTTTGATTGAAGTCTCTTTACTGTAATTGAACCCTGGGTATAATCATACAGTTATTTTGTATAAAAACTCCATGCTTCTATTCTTTCCTATGAATATCTCCGTCACCATGCTGTAAGACTGTCCTCGTTTGACCTTAATCTTAAAATTCAAAATAATCGTAACACAGACGATCAACAAACTGGAACGGTTCTATTCCGACTGTATTTTTAGCATTTTCCTGATTGTTCTCCATAGAAGAAGAGCAGCTGTTGTCACTGCGCATTTATGGCTCATCAGAAAGACTAAATATGTCACTAAATTATATTAGACAGACTGGGGCAGTCTGGAGAATCTGTTGGGAAAGTAATAGAGCTCACTCCTTTTTCTTTGTACTACATCACAACCATTCAACATATTAAGATCTTTTTTTTTTTGTCAAGAAAACAGTCTCAAGTGCTCACTGCAACACAAAATATGATGATATCTGCCCTTTAAGTAATCTGAGTTACTGTGGCATATATGCGTCATTATCCACACAATATAAATGAAGCGGCCTGGATTTATTTTGGAAGGAAACTCTCATTTTCTTGTTCTTTCTTGTTCTAATATTTGTTTTCCTTTCTCCGTGTGCTTCAGGCTTAAGACAGCAAATAGTGCGACATCCCCAGCTACAAGAGGATCTCTCATATCACCACTGCCATTTCACGGGAGCTCATTTTTGGAGAGGGACTTTGTACAGAGAAAAGGATTTCAAACAAATATGGCCATAACAGAGACTACCCAGTAGCAGTCGAATTTTTCAGAAGATGAAAAAAAATAAGATATATATATATAAAAGTGTAATGACACTTCCTACTCTGTCATATCTACATTCCTCGACATCATGTGAATTTTCCAGTGTGGACTCTTGCTCTGAGAGTGAATTTCGATGGAGGCCGATGGGGGCGCGACGGGAAGAAGAGGAAAAGTAAAGCGGAACAGAGGGAAAAGGAACGTGCAATGAAAGGATACAGGAAAAGGACGCTCCTTTTTTCTACTTTTTCTTTTTGGTGTGGTTAAGGGAGTTTTGGAGAATATAGATTTGTTTGATTTTGGTACGTCGTTGTGATCAGAGTTGGGGAAAGAGAGCAGAGAGAAACAAAAGGAGGTAACCGAATCTGAGAGGAGCCATAGCATTGTAGAGGAAAAGAGTAAAGAGTCAGTCCTCATGCACTAAAATAATAAGAAAAAATAATCCATCTGGGTTCACTGTGTTTTGTTTTGTTTTGTTTTTTTTGTTTTTTTGCTTTTTTTTAATACAAAAAGAACAACCCCCCCAAAAAACAGGATTGCTTTTACTTCAGAATTGTGCATCAGGTGATCGGTGTCCATGTTTTGTAGTCAAGAACCTGCAAGTTGGGATCTGGGGAGAAGAGAAGTGACATTCTGAGCAAGACTGGAGTTTCATCCTCCACACGGAAAACTCAAACGGTTCCAAAACCAAATCGGAGGAGAGTCTCTTTCGTCCTGTTCGAGCTTCACGGCTTCCCGTGTGACACTCTCAGGTTGCGTAGCGGCGCGACGCGTTTCCCGGCCGGTTGCTGTTCCGTCAGTGTTGTGTATCGGAGAGGATTCAAGGCATTATGTTTATAAATGGATCTGTGTTTCTGAGGAGAAGCAGACTGTAAAAAAACAAACAAAAAAAAGAAAACAGTAATAATAATGAGGATTTGTCTAAAATCATTTATGTTGGATTTTATATAACTGTATATTAGAGTCAGACAAACAGAAAACTTAAAAAAAAAAAAAAAAAAAAAAAAGGAAAAATTGTGATTAAGAAAATCAGATTTCTTACCTGTATATTAATATCACCTTGTTTGGAAAGCACATTTCATTTGATGAAGGCTCACTGTTGTTTGTAAACAAGAAATAACTCTCTTGCATAACTTAAACGTGTGTCAAAGCGTCGTCGAGCTGCACCGGCGATCACCTATTTATATTTTGTATTTGTGGGAAGAGGGTTACAGGAAGGAAAATGAATCTGGATCCATGTTCTGTGGCAGCTCCTGTGTCTTCAAAACAGGAACAAGAGATGATTTTTAATTTTTAGAAAAAGTATATATATATATATATATCTATCTTCCTCATGCGTTTGTACGTGATTCGATTGCCACCAACTCACCTAATCTGCTGCATCTTAAAGGAAATGATCCAGTAGTGAGCATGAAGATGTTTATATTCTATTCTTTTCTTTTCCAAGTGCCAGTTTTCTTTTCGTCGTGGCGTCATTTGGATGTTACTTAATCCGCTCGTGCAGGAAGACGGCTGGAGACGAGAAGGACAGCGCTGTAAATTAAAGATGGGGTCTTATAGTATATATATATTTTTTACAGTCGAGATGCAGAATCGTTGTTGCCATTGCAGAGAAGTCGAACCCCATCTGGTTTCCATGCGTCTGTCACTCAAGGCGAACGGCATGTGCCTGCGTTCAAGTCCGAGTTGATTTTTGATTCCTTCTTTTCTTTTTTTTTTTGTTTGTGACGTATGTGACTTTGTAAAGCTTGCATATTTTACAGTGTTTACAAAGATGTACGTTGTGGTTTAAAAAAAAAAAAAATCAATGGAGTTTTAAAAATGAATCGTTCCTGTATGTTAAAACCCAGATTTATAGAAGGAAAAAAAAAAAGAAATGTCGTCATAACCCGAACAACCCCTCCTGTGTGTCGTCAGACGTGTGTGCTTTCATCGGACAAAGTCCCACGTCGACCGTCTCCTCCTTCTCGAATGCACTACCACAACCAAAGGATCGGGAGTTGTGCTCATCATTTCTAAAGTAATAAAGGGCTCTCGGTTGTGTGAATGTGCAGCCCGCCCCCAACAGTTGTACATTCGCAGAACGCAGAGCCACGCGACTGTGCCGTTTAAAACCCACGGACACAAGCACACACACGCACACAAACACGCGGAATCAAGACAAACCTACCTGTGTAGATACAACCGATTCAAGACCGTGAAACTAAAGTAACTGAGTAGCAGATGTGTTTGTACCTATCATGTGCCTTAATCTTTTCCATGCTAGATAAAGAGAACTGTGTTTTATATAACTCTCATTCCACAAATTCCCTTTCCTTCCCACAACCCCTAGTGTCAGACCCCCAACCCTCCCTGACCACCGCCATTCAGCTCATCAATCCATCCATCAATCCATCCATCCATCCATCCATCCATCCAGGCCCCTCTACCCCAGCTTCCACCTCACTGTCCCCCTCCTAAGTAGTTTAGACTGTTGGCGGGTTGCTGCCTTGATTTACATTGTAATATAAACTTTTAATGAGGTAGAGAGCATTTGACAAATGGGTTTGATTTCCTAGAGAAGTAAAGCCGTCGGAGCTTTCGTAGCGAGCAGGAGCGATGCCACAGTGACAGAATGTAATATGTTAATTTTACTAATACCCAGAGGCAAATATTACGCTTGTCAAACATAATGGAAAAATACTGGTTTGTAGAGTATAAATTTGGTGTGTTTTCAATAAATCATGCCTGGAAATTAAGGGTCATCTGGTTTTGTGTCTTATTTGCTTACAGTCCAAGCCAATCTCTCTGCACTTTAAAGGGCCAACGTTGTGTAAAATCGACTTTTTAGATCTTAACGTCATCCTATGGTGTTATTCCTTCATCAAAAACAAACCTATAGCGATGCCTTCATTCTCTCATCCATGTTTGAGAAATCCCTTAATCTACCATGGCAACGATTCAGCTGTGCAAAACACCTGAGTGGATCTAGTGCCACCTTAGAGACGGTTTCCAAGCCTCTCCAGGACCTGCCTCACAGAGCAGCCCTCTTCCCATGACTCCCCAACTCTGCTCCTTCAGACTAACCAGCAGCAGCTAGCCAACACCTGGTGGAACTGCACATCTGCTGAGCTACTTCCCAATGCAACGCTAGTAAAAACCTTAAAGGGTTAACAGAGGAGCGAGTTGTGATGACTTCCTGAAGGCGGAGTTTCAGAGCTAGTAGGAGAGAGGCCCAATTTCCAGGTGTAAAATTACAAAGTCAAATTTCTTTTAAGTCATGTTTGACATATACAACCTATTTATAACAAATAAAGGTAACATATTTGTTGTGAATATGCTGTGCCTGAAAAATACATACTGCCCCTTTAAAGTGGGGTAAAGTGTGTTTTCTTCCTCCTATGGTTTTTCCTCCACCACATTTTTTCAGGCAAGTCTCCTTGGGTGTCGAGAATGTGGTTTGATTTAGCCACGAATGCAAAACTACAGGCTCCATCAAGCAGTGGCGGTTTCCGATATTGGCGAAATGGGCAACCAACCAGGGTGGCATGAGCGAAAAGGTGGTTGACCCAGGGTGCCAAACAGGTTAGGACTATCCCTGCCACCAAGTGAGCAACTCAACAACAGAAAAAGTACATCAGACCTTTATGGAAGAGTGGCAAGAAGAAAGACACACTTAGTCTGGTTTGCAGTTTGTCCAGAGTGATGTAGACACAGAAAAAGGTGTTTTAGTAAAATGAGACCATAATCCTAAAAACAGCCCTAAAAATACAGCCAGGACTGTGCTGTACTATAATCTTAACTGTGCTGTTCTCATTTAGCTTTAAGGAGAACATCGTCATAATTAATAGTAATAAATGCCTGTCTCATACACAATGTGTTTCACAGTGAATTAAGCTACTGAAAAAAAAATGTTCCTTTGAAATTTATGGACCTGTAGTTGTGGTCAATGATTTGTGAATTCTAGATGTTTTGGCCTTCCTTTTAAGTTTTGCTAAAATCTGACAGACAACTAGTGAATACCGTGAACCTCCAGCAAACTTGTCACAAAAACGGTATGGTCTAGAAACCAACAGATCTCGTGTTACCCACAATCTAATACACTTACATACGACAAGGAATTGTTTTCATTTATGTAGAAATAACGAATTACTATTATTATTATTATTATTATTATTATTATTATTATTATTGAGAGACTGTTACACAACGAGATCTTAAACCTTTTTTCTTAGAGTAATTTATTCCAGGCAATTCTGTAGATACCTATATCCGGTTCGGGGTCCTTTTGTAATAACATCATGGCTGCCCTCTGCACTGTTAGACACCGGTGGAAAAGATTGAAATGTCTGCCGATTTTCACCAGAAACCTTACAGGTAATGAAACTTCTATTAAATAGAAGCTCTCGTTTAGACTAAATAGACCCTTTCGATGTTTACGTAGGGACTCTTCAATTGTAAAATCCTTCGGGAGCTTAATGTAACTTCGCCTGCCTTTACGTAATAACCTTTTTTAAAACTAATATTTCTAAAATAGTGTTTTAAAAACCCAGTTTCCTAAGATACTAACCTGCTTAGTGCTTTAGGTTGGTGCAAACGTTGCATTACTTTACCGCCTGTCTGTATGCAAACCAGTAGTATTCTTATTAGCATATTTATTTGTCATTACCTTTATTGTCGTACAAGATTAGGTTATTTTATTTATTTATTTATTTATTTTTACTGTTAACATTTAAAAATTCTTAAAGTTTGGTGTCTGAGATTGTGGTCATATCTAATAGTGATATCGTGCTTTCTAAACTCTAAGAACTTGTCTGCATTTCCTTCATGTTGCATCTATTTATTTTTTTGTATAGACCAACATAAAGTAAAGCACATCTGTGAAGTTCAAGAAAAGGAATCTATGCTTCGTTTAGAAAAATGCCCCCGCAGCTCTTCCTTCATCTTACAAAAAAGCAGACAAAAAAAAAAAACTGAAAAAATAAACAATTATTAACGTACAAATAAACCTTGTAAATAACCCCGAAGTATAAAGTAAACCAAGAACAAATGTAATCAAAATACAAAGTAATAAAACTAAAGAATAAATAGCTGTAACAGTTATATTATTGTGAAGTAAATGTCATATTATGATTTGTCTACATTTTAAGAATGGCTTCACACTATCCAAATGTCTAGATAAAGTCCTTGTACATTATGTGTTAGATGCTTAAGATTCACAAGCTAAACTATGCAGTTGTCATTTTTATATGTTGTTGATTGAAACCTGATGTAATGTTTACTAAATAGGAATTAAATGTGGCTCAGTGCACACACGCCACACTTCCCAAACTTTCTACCACTATTGTGAAAGAAGTAATAAGTAAGAAGCACAGGTGATTTTTCTTCCACCTCTGTGTCATGTTTTACTTGTGCTGGCTTGTGGCATAAAGTTCCATTAAAATGTATTGATGCTTGCAGACGTAGCATGAGGAAAAATATGAAAAAGGTTCCCGTTATGTGACAGCTTCTGGTAGTTTATCATTCAGTATCATCTGACAGGGAGGTATGACTACGACTTGGTGGTTATTGGTGGAGGCTCTGGAGGCCTGGCCTGCTCCAAAGAAGGTAAGCTGTTGAGCACATTTTCTGAGGCATTCAATCATTTGTCAGATTTCTGATCTGATTTCCTGTCTAAATCTGTAAATCCACAGCGGCACAGCTGGGACAGAAAGTCGCCGTTCTAGATTATGTTGAACCGTCTGCCAAAGGTGAAATAAATTCTACACCATTTGCCCCCCCCCACCAATATGGAGGGTTTGTTCTCTAAAATGTAGCCACTGCTTCTCCAAACAGGAACAAAATGGGGTCTTGGTGGCACGTGTGTCAACGTTGGCTGCATTCCTAAGAAGCTCATGCATCAGGCCGCTCTCCTTGGTACTGCAGTCAAAGATGCGAAGAAGTACGGCTGGCAGATGCCAGAGACACTTCGCCATGACTGGTGAGCCGAGTCTGACAGAAATGTTTTTTGTCTTGAATGATTTTTTTTTTTTTAATAAAAAAAAATCTTCCATTACTTCTGTCCAACTAGTAGATGTTTACCAGGATAATTCACAATCTATAAGGTGTTTTATTCACTGTTAGAGCGTGATTCTTAAATATCCTTCACTGTTGTTAGCTAATAGCACCATCTGGTGGTGTAAGTGGGGAAAAAAAACACTGCAGCATTATGTTAGTCTAACTATAATTTTTTTGTCTTCTTTTCATCTCAAATTTAAATTTTTTGTTGAATGGAAATTCAACATAGCATAATGTTTTATTACAATATAAATTTCTCAAAAAAGCCACTGAGTCCAGTTGAAGATGTGTTTGATGTGAGGTGATGTCTTCATGTTTTCCAGGGCCGTCATGGCGGAGGCAGTTCAGAATCATGTCAGATCTTTAAACTGGGGCCACAGAGTCCAGCTCCAAGACAAGTAAGTGACAGAGACTCTAAATTCCTTTCCAATGAACCCGTTGGCTTTTCTTTCACTGCTTAATTGAATTAAATTAGTCAACCAGCTGAAATAAGAGTTAATCACAGAATAAGACAACACATTTATGAGACGAGACGAAATGGCATGAAATAAGTCGGTTTATTGTCCCAAAATGTGGAAAACAATCTACCATAGATTAGAGATGAAAGATGTATCTAATTGTAGTTTTAATGCAGCAGGTTAAAATTTTAATGACGCAGGACTACTTGATGTTTTTTGAACTGCATGGACAGATTTTAGAAGTTTCCCATGTCTCTAATTTAGGATAAAAGAGGTGCATTCAAAATGTTTATTTTGTCCTGCGAGTGACATCACGTTGGCAGAGAAGTTTTTGTAAAAACAAACAATAAAAACAGAATTTGTGATATTTAGATGCCAAAACTTTGAGATTGGACCCAGGCTGGAAGCTCTAAAGAAGAACAGATGACACTGATATAAATCCAGCTGGATGTTGAACTGGATGTATCACAGACATGCCTTGACTTGTCAAAAATTCAGTTACTTTTTATCAGTCTTCTTTATTTTGCTGTTTTTTTTTTGTTGTTGTTTTTTTTCTTTTTCTAAACAGCCTGCTTAGACTGAAAATAGCTGCTTCAGTCTAGTATCTATCTCCACACTAAGGGGTGGTGCGGTTAGCACAACTTGTTAGCGCTTAGCGATGGTTCTTTCATTGATCGTGTAACAGTTATGGGCTATGCAGCTAACTGCGGCTACAAGAGCAGCATCAGAAGATGGTTCTTTAAGGAGCCTGAGGTGTGAAATGAAGACATGAAGCAATGGTTTTAGTTTTTGGTGCATATATTAGTGATTTGGGAAAAGACAGAAAATAAAAAAACAGACATTTACAAATGCACAATGAGAGACAAATTAACTCAAAATAAATCAATTCCTTGATCATAGAGTTCTTGTCCTTTTTCCCTTAGCTCGCCATCCTTGGATTCAGACGAGGATCTGATCCATCATGAATAAAAAAAAAATAAAAAAAAGACCTAAAAGGCCAGAAAACCCATTAAGTGTTATATCAAACAATTATGTGCAAACATACAAATGCAATAAATATCAAATTCAAATGCAATTATTAAATGTCTAATAATTAAACTAAACATTTCAGTCAGGTTAAATTAACCATAATTTAAATAAACAAAGAATATCAATTGTATTTCAAACTAATCAATTTAAAGTTGAAAAGTTGAAATCAAAGTTCACTTTCAAAATCAAGAAAAATAAATTAACTCAAATACTCAAACAGAGTGAAGGAAAAAAAATATATTGTGCAATATCAATTAAAATGTAGCTACATTCTATTTTAATCATATCAATACAAGAAGTGCCAGAGCTTGCACAAAACCAGCAATCATGTTACCTTTGGGAAGAGAGTGGGGCGTACTAGGCTGTGATCAGCTGTTTCAATCCCGGTTACGGCTCGGGTAACAAACGCCGACAGTTCTAACAAAACAACGCTCCAATGAGCAATCGAGCAGAAATTTCATGCTAAACCAATAGTGTTATCCCACAAACAACTCACCAATAGATCAAATCTGTGGATGCAAAGATTTTGATGAATTGTCAGGAAGACGCCAACCAGCCAGCCACAATCACAGTGGAACAGGTGATGAAGTTCAACTGTGCGCTGGAGGCGGGGCTTTAAATAAGTTGGCAGGTTTCGGGCAAAACAGGAAGTGGGCCCGCAAAAATAAAAGTCTTGACTAATTGACTAAATGCAGGTTACAATCGGAAAATTGAGTTTCCAACTGATTTCCGATCAAACTGGAAACAGCCCGGTTCCTTTTCCCAGCTGATACTGGTGCATGTCTGTCATCCAGACCGACACTTCATACCAGAACCAGAACCAGAACCAAACACGGAGAAGCAGCATTCAACTTCTATGCACCACAAATCTGGAACAAACTTTAAATCGAGACTAAAACCCACCTGTTTAGAGTTGTTTATGAACCATAGTTAATATTCAACATGTATTGATGATTTTGATGACGTCGGCGCTCATCAAAATGCGACGTGTTTTTCATGCCTCCACCACGGGACGGCGTGCTTCTCGGGAACTTCGTGTTCACTTGTTGATTTCCTGTCAAGGAACTGCGATTCTGTTTCTTCTTCTTCCGATTTTGTCATCACTTGAGCTTCTTCAAGGCCGTACATGTGTGTGTTTCACACACACCTGCGGGGCTGCAGCCACATGTTGATGGAGTGGCTGCTGGAGGGCGAGCAGGCGGCAACCTCCTCCGTCCAATGAGATCCTTTACTTGGAATCAGCTTTTTGAGACTTCTTTTTTGTTAAAAATAAAACTGATATACTATATAGATTTTTTTTTTTTCTTGCATGTCTCGTTAGCCTCACTTGTTCTTAACTCTTCAAAGTTTAATGAATTACTAGTGATATTTTTGTGTGTTTTGCAGGAAAGTCAAATATCTGAACCTCAAAGGCAGTCTGCTGGACGAACACACAGTGAGAGGTCTGAGCAAAGCAGGAAAGGAGGTGGGCTGTTTTTGTTTGTTTGGTTTTTTTGTTTGTTTTTTCACATAAAAACAGGAAAGGCTGCCCAATTATGGTACCAATTATTATTTTAGTAATATATTATTCTGTGGATTACTCCAATTCATCGGATAAAAAAAAACAAAAAAACATTGGCATGTTCTTCAGAGTCCAGCTTGCTCTGTGGTTTAAAAACCTAAGCTGTGTGAAAATGTGTGAGCTGCACCAATCCTGCATTCTAAACCCACCAACTCACACAGTATGTGATTAAAGCCTACGATAAGCTGAGCACTAAAATAAATGAGTTGCATCAAACTATCTTCCTGAGTGAATTCTCATCTGAGTGAAGTCTTTGTTTTATTGGCTCAAGAAGATATTAATGTGACAGATTTCTCTGTTTGATAGGTATTTTTCTCGAACCTACATAAAAGAACCACAGACGACGTATATGAGTTTTCTGACCAAGCTTTTGCAAAAGAAGACTCAGCAAACTGCTCCTCCGAGCCGTTCACTGAGCGTTCTAAAGACCCTTGGTTACAGCTTGTCTTTTATTATCAAGCAAAAAGAGGGAGGATAGGGAAGAAAGACAGCAGAGACAAAATATTACTGCACACAGGCAGTTTCTGAGTATTCTGGTTGATAAGGAGGCACCTGTGGAAACATAATTTAAGGTCTGGGAAACAAACAGTTAACTGTTTCACATGAAGACAAACAAGCAGATGGAGCCTCCAGGTCAGTTTATGCACACAGAAGGAAGAGAACACTTTAATAATCTATAGACTGAATGTTGATTAACTATTGATTAACATTAGACTGAATATGAACTAAAGTAATAACAAAATGATAATACCAAAAAATCTGTAACACTGTTGGTGCCACATTGAGATCAATGTTTTCTTTCTATGCACTTAAAATTGTGTATTTTTACTAAACTCTGCTTTTTTTGAATTCCCAAAGTTCATTTTAAAGAAATAAACTGCTTCGCGGCAGAGCTAAGGAGCTAAAAATATCTGCCGCTTTTCCCCCCCTCACAGCTTTTTAGCCTCTCTCTTCCTCTTCATAAGATCCTTCTTTGAAATAAAGCATGAACCAGAATCCCAGGATGCTCGTCTGCCTCCCCGTCTGCATTGTTTGACCGGTTTCACAGTTTTTCCGTCGCCGCCTTCCCACACAGCGCCGTAGAGACCGCTCAGTTTTATTTGACGTTTCCTCGCCGTTTCTGAATATGAACAAAAGCTATTACCTCACATTTCCCTCTCCTTTCCTGCAGACAGTCCTGACCGCCAAGAACATTGTGATCGCCACAGGTGGACGACCAAAGTACCCCACTCAGGTAAATAAACAAACTGTTCCTGTCGCCTGATGGACACTTTTCCAAAACATGACGCTTACAGGGTCTCCGTGCATCATTGGAACATCTTAAATTTATATACCTGAAATTGAGACCTTTAAATAAAATTTTTAAAAATGTGAGTTGGCTTTAAATATGTTAATCTCTGGCCTTACATTTTGCTGCAGCAGGACTATTAGCTCTTGTTTCTTTACTTTTCCATCAAGCCAACATTTGAGTCGAGTTCGGACATTTTCTTTGCTACTCAAGGCAGTTGAGGCTACCGCTAACCAGCTGCTAATATACCCTTGCTAACTGGCTAGCATTTTTGCATCCATCATTGGTAAGTGTAGGTTTATTGCCAGTTGGCTGGACGACATTCTTTCGTAGAAGTGGTGGTTGAGGTGGTGAGGATGAACGCAGGCGGACCCAGGAGATAGGTGAAAAATGATGAATTTAATGATATTAATCCAAGTATGGAACAACGGGGAACAGCATGAAGGATCCATACACGGAATGAGACACACCTGGGAAACAATCAACGGGGAAGACGCAGAGGCGGAGACACAGGGAGCAAACTGAAGACAAAAAACTCTAAATACACAGAAACACGGATCATGACACATTCGTCTTCACCATTGACTCACTTCTGTTGCTGACCCGTACCGTGATACAATCTTTCTGTTCAAAAGAACCTTGGTACTACGACTATATAAAACATAAAAAAGTTATTTTGTACATTTGTCATGATACAGGTCTTAAATTTCATTCATAGTGGTCTTAAAAAGCCTTATGTTTGAGCTGATAAAAGCTGCCATAACCGTGTTTTAGAGGGAACTCTGTTCTTTCTCTTATATTAGTTTTATGGACAGTTTTATTTGTCGCTGCAGATCCCTGGAGCTGTGGAGCACGGCATCACCAGCGACGACGTCTTCTGGCTGAAGCAGTCCCCTGGAAAAACGTAAGCCTGCTTCTCTCAAGCCACTAAAGTAGCCTTAATTAACGGCCCGGCTTTGGAGTGCTGAGGAAAACCGACCATCTAACTGTGAGGTTTTCGACGTTCCCTTCGACCCCGCGGCACCTTTTTGCTCGCTGACGCTGCACGTCCCACTGTCGTGCAGCACCGTCATTCATCAGGGACGCGTGGTTTGTTTTTCTGCCTTCCTGTCAGCCTGTCTTCGCCTCATGATTCAGATTAGCTGCGTGCATCCTGACCTTTACAGAACAAGCCCTTTAATCCAGCCATTTAGCCGCTGTCATCGCCTGGTTAATTGGGCTTTCCTTGACGCTTCCTCTTGGCACGTCACGCGCACGGCGACTGGTGCCTGTGGGTTATCTGGGCTACCGAGGTTGTTTGCGACGCGACGAGAGATAGAAGGAAATAAGCATATTGATATTTAAGCACTTTGTATATCTAATTTGTCCGTACCTGAGGACAAGGAAGCACAAAGCATTCTGATTGTTTTTTTTGTTTTTTTTCTTTTTGAAATTTGGCAGTTAAATAACTAGTCTTTAGTTTGTTTAATTGAGAATCTTCACTAATTTAATGATGCTTTTAGTCATTCAGCGTCTTTCACATGCATTATATTATGATTTTGTGAAATAGACCAACACAAGGTGGCAAATGATTGTGCAGAAGGGAACTGGTTTGTCCACTTTTGTTTTTACAAATCAGAATTTGAAAGGTGGGGTACAGCTTTATATTCGGCCCCTTTAAACTCTGGTGCACCTTAATTAAATTTTTTTGTTGCAGCAGTTGATTCCCAACTCACCTGCCGCTGTAATTTAGTCTCAGTATAAATCCAGCTCTTCTGTGAATGCCTCACAGGTTCATTAGAGAATATTAATATTAGAGAACAAATCCTACAGGGGAACACGGTAGTGGCAGCCTCATGCCGTGGGAATGCATTTCTTCAGTGCAAACTAAGAAGCTAACCAGAGTTAAACATGTAGGGCTGGAAGAGAACCAGTTGGAGGCAGGAAGACCCTAAACATGGAGCCATCGCTGAAATCAGAACATATTTATGTGACAGAAAAACTCAGTCAGCGTCTAAAACTGAGAATCTGTGGCAAGACTTGAATTTCACTGTTCACTCTCCTTCTAATCTGACTTGGATTGAGTTACTTTGAGCGAAGATGACAAAAAAGAATTGGAATACTGCATTTTCATGCCACACTTTTCAGATTTTTGTTTGAGAAATATTTTTAAATCCACATTTCGTTTTAGTTCAACTTTACGTTGGCCTGTCAAAACAACAAATTCTGATGGGCGATAAATTATCCCAGATGTTTTCACGATAAATGATGATGTTGTTTTGGGACCGTTTTCAAGTAACATGATGGTAATGGCATAATAACGCAAGATCTTTGAATTCTCAAAGAACAATAAACTTTAAATTCTAAACTTTATTAACATTTGGAACATTGTAAATATCCACAATAAATAAGCAAACAACAACAGGAACGACAAATAAAATGAATTATGAAGACAGCAAATAAAATCATCTAGTTGAGACCAAAACATCAGAATGAAAAATTCTGTCATTCAGTCCAGAAAAATAATAAATCATGCAAATGGAAATGAGTTTGTTTTTAATTTATCATGCGATTAATTGATTTATTGCTTTTTGCGACAAACAGGTTAATCACAACTTTGTAATTACATAAAAATCCGATTAAAAAAAAAAAAAAACATAACTTTGCTACATTAAGCTAACAAGACATGGAAAAGCCAAAGAGGGGCTGAGTGTTTAAAATACGATGAATTCCTAAACATCCGAGCATCACTGCAGCTTTCACTTAGTCAGGACGTTTCTGAGAGCACTTGAGCAGAGGAAGTGCTTTGATGTAAAAGCGTGGAGGTCAGGGCAGCGCTCTGCCCCCCCTGCAGGCAGAAGTGGCGCTGCTTGGCGGCGTTTCAGCAGCGGATCCTTCCAGAAACGATCTTCCAACTCTGAGGCAAAGCTCAAAACGAAGCTGTTTTGGTCTGTCAAGCCATCATCAGCTATGCAGGTGAGGTCCAGGGAGTTGTTTCTGCAGGCAGGATGGGTGTGTGAGGTTACAGGTGAGGGATGGGTGTCTAATGATCCCTCAAGCATTCACACACACACACAAGTAAATGACAGATTTGGCTTTAGGCACTGAGGTCCAGAATTGACTCCCTTCATCATGCCATCAGGAGAAAACACAAAGCGTGTGCCAGGAGGAAGTGGTTGTACCAGGAGGCTGCTGTAAGCAGCCCATTTGGTGGGAGAGACAAAAGTTAAAAAAATGACTAAGAACTGAAAGACTAAACATGTTTAATCTGTCCAGCACCAACCGGCTTGGTTTCAAACCCCAACCTTTAGCAGAAAATGCATGAAAGAATACGACACATGCTCATCAAATATCATAAAGTGAGTTATACAGTATAACCGAGTAAATGAGCTAAAAAATAAAAAGATAAAAAAAACCCCCAAAAAAAACAGCCAAACTGAAGAAACTTTCTCTGGGACAAATGAAATGGTTTCATTACCACACATTCCACTTTTTCTCTTTTTAAAGAATTACTTTATTCCCCATTAACCTCCTTCTTTTTATTGTAACTCGACTGTTGGTTGAAACTACTGGATGTGGCTGATTTTGATGCAACTAGTTAGCAGGAAAACAAAGTCGCCTTTCACTTATTGCATTTTTTTCCTTTGACCTGGCAATCAAAGCAAAATATACAATCCCTGATTTCTTGTTATTATGTGCTTTTTAACACAAAGATCCACGTTTATTCACAGATCAGAACACAGAGAGCACAGGTATTAGTTTAGTTTTTAGACTGAGATCTGCGTATTTCACCATTTATGTGAATCTCACACCAGCAGGAGGAAAAACAAAAGCCTTTCGTTTGTGGGATAAAAATCGTTGACCTCATTCTGCCCTCAGACTGCAGCAACATTGTTGCTGCCCTCAGACTGCAGCAACAATGTCCTCCTCCTAACTTCACAGGCAGATACACAAGAATATCATGTTGTGCCTATCAGTGATGGAGGCTGTTTGAAGAGCCGCCCAAGGCTGAGAAGCACCGATCCGAACAAACCTCCCTCAGTGAGGAGCAGTCTGGGAGGTTTTGGGTGACTTCAGGCCAACGTTGAACTCACTTTAATTCTCTCTTTTAGACAAATAAGTAAATAAATAATAAAAACAAGTTAACAAGAATCCTTGAATCCCAGGTTTGATTGCATCTTGTCTGTTACGTTTTGACAAACACCTGAACAAAAACAGGTACACATCCACCCTGCAGAGTATAAAAATCCATCACTAAGGGTGTGTGTCGCAGCTTTGCGGATGTATAAAACACAATGAACCACATTGAACCAGAAAAGGTGTGGGCTAGTGAGGCGTCTTCTCCGTGATGAAAGTTTCGGATCACGGTAAAGCTCTCTGCCTCGTCTTTTCTTAAGCCACTTCTCAATGCATCCTAATTGAAGCGGTGCTTTATGGGGAAGTGGAGGAAGGGCAGGGAGTCTGGTTTGCTGCGCTGAAAGCGACCGAGTGACAGACTTCACTTAGCGGGCCGACATGCGGGTTTAAGCCCTGAACATGACACACGTCGTCTGCGGGGATCAGCGGCGCTGATCTTACTGCCGGATTACAGCGGTGATTCACCCGGACCACACACGTGAACCTTTAGCGTTTTTCCCCCCGTCCTCCATTTTCTTCACGCCTCTGAGGTTAGGAAGCTTTGTAATTCATCACCTCTCTAATTCCAGGATCTGGAAGAAAACCTGTGCGAGTCGGGGTTATTGTTGTTTTCATGTGGCTAAAGTGCACCGAGGAGAAATGGAAATGTATCTTGTTGTGTTTGTAATTCTTTTGAGAGCTTCTTCGTCTTTGTGTTGCAGACTCGTGGTTGGAGCCAGCTGTATCCTTCATCTACCCAGGGGGAGGAAGAAGCTCTTGTGCTTGGCCTGCCAGACGTCAACAGACAAATCGTATAGATTTTGATGAATTAGCGACATAGGGCCGTAGACAAAGCGTTGTTATTTAGACGGGGTGCACTGATTGCATTTTTTTCTGGTCATAAAACGATCGTTCTCACCCCATGAGGGAAAATGTTCCCTTTATAAACCAATCACACCAAAGGTTGTAACCTTCTTCACCTGGCCTCCGGTAGCCTATCACAGCCTCCCAGAGACATTCCTCTGACAGGTCTTATTTCTGGTAGGCAGGTCAGAACGGAAGAATTGAAACCAGAGCAACCATGTTGTCACTCACCCATCACATTTAAAATGTGATCGTTTTATTTTTTAAAAATGAAAAAAACGTAGTTACTGCTATCCTCAACTTGGCTGAACCCAGACGTTGCTCTGGAGTGTGCCGGCTTCCTCACAGGCATCGGCTTGGACACCACGGTGATGGTTCGTAGCGTCGCCCTCCGGGGTTTCGATCGGGTACGTCTCTCACAGTCTGCTTGTTTTGAAGTTCTGCGGTTTTTTTTTTTTTTTTTGTCCGGTTTAAAAGCAGACATTTCACTTTGTGCAGCAAATGGCGGGTCTTGTGACGGATTACATGGAAGCTTATGGGACCAGGTTTGTTTGGGGGTCCGTTCCCCAGAGAGTGGACAGGCTCCCGTCGGGACCCCTCCAGGTGACGTGGAACGACAGCGAAACCGGCAGGGAGCACAAAGACACCTTCGACTCGGTGCTGTGGGCAGTGGGTGAGTCCTTCTGTTGGAGGCTTTTACTGAATCTGTTTGTGATTGAATGTTTTTATCCTTTCAACGCTGTTCCACAAGAACTGCTCATCTTAATGTTGACACACGTCTTTGTGGCATGATGATCCAAAACCAGTTTAAAGATGACTTTTTTTCCCCACACATCCTTCCACCGAAAGCTTTTTTATTAGTAACAGCTTTAAAGCTGCAGTATGTAACTTTTATTTTTTTAAAAATTACATATTTGTTGAAACTGTCACTATGTCGTGTCAGTATGATATGAAACAATCTGCTGCTTAAGAAAATCATCCCCACAGCATGATGCCTCCACCATCGTACTTCACTGGAGCAAGAAATCTACAGTCTTTGTAAGCTATAGAGGCATTTCTGCCCTCAGCTCAGCTAAATAAGTTATTTACAGCCAAAAATGTTACATTACATTTAAAAAAAAAGACAAAAAGTACTTTTTGACAGCTATCTGCTGTGGGGAAGTTTTTTAAGAAGTTCCATTTTATTTCAATGTTTGGCTTTAAAATAAAGAAAGCCAAACATTCTTTATTTGGCTTATGAGATGTTGATATTTTTGTAAAAATATGTTTAAAAAGCACATGTTTTCAACCAAATGACAAGAAAACCTGAGCTAATAAACAGCTGAAAGCGTTGGTGTCATTCTGTTGCAGACATTAAGTGAAAAATGAGAAACTGATAAAAGCTGCATCTGTTTATATCTATATTGAAAAGTATTAGTTGGTTCTTTACCTTTTTAAGCAATGGTTATCAAGAGCCAATGTGATGCCATCATTTCGAAAGTTGTCGTTTTTAACCTGTGCAAATGTGGGAAAAAATGAAGAGGGCATGGATGCTTTCACAACACGTTGTATCATTTCCCACTGATGTTACAATGAAACATTAGTGTGACTCTGTGGTCCCCTTCCACCAGCTCCTTTGTCATCCTTACAAAGTGCAGTGTCAGCGGGTACAGCGCGAATCGAGCGTGAAAACAAAGTAATAAAGCCAGAGTGATGGGAATAGGCAGGGGAAGTGTCGCTCGCTCACTGCAGGCTCCCCGGTTGGAGCGGGGCAGGACGGAGCAGGACGGAGCAGGATGCACCCAGGCACGGGTCACCGCGTTCCCCTCTTTGTTCTCGCTCTGCGCCTTCCTGCCCCGTGCCAGCTCCGCGGAAACCGGCCTCGCATCTGTCACTGCCCGCCGGGCCTGCGCCGCCTCTGCCCGCCGTCACCTGCGGCCGTCTTCCTCTTTCTCGCCTGTCCGTTTTCTGTTGTCCTGTCATTCCTCCTTTTTCCAGGCAGCAGAATGATTCACAGTGGAAGGGACGTCTGTCAGGTCTGTTTGTGTTGAACTAATTTAAAAGCAACACTTCCCGAAACTTGACCGGGAAGCTTTTATTTTATTTTAGAGCATGTGTGTAAGTCAGGGTGTAAGAGACAGTTCAGGTTTATGGCCCAAGCCCGACCCGAAACCGAAATTCTGTCTGGGTTGGGCTAGAATGCTTGATGCTTGATGAAACGTTGCTCTATGTGTTGTACAAGCTTGGTTATAAAAAGACCAACACTTCTTTTTTTATTTTACACTGATTACAAATTAAAGGTCTCCATCTGAGTCAACCATCTGTGCTGAACGGGACAAATTTGTATCATTCTTGAATTACAGTTGGGGGGGCCGCAAAAAATAAAAAAAAATCTGTCTATGGGTCAGAATGACCCTACTTCACACTTTGGACTCCCCTGCTCTAGAGTTTAGAACTTCAAAATAAGAGTCGTGTCTTAAGTATTATTTAATCAGTCAAATCAGTTCAGTTCATATTTGTATATTCCCAGATTGCATCATGTTAAACGTGATCTAATTTTGATAAGTGGAATACAGAGTAATATTTCAGCAGCTTTTAAGGGCTGTTTTTATCAGTAGATTGTGCTGCAATTTGGCTTGAAATGAAAACAAGTTTGACAGCCCTGCTTTAGGAGATATAAATAACTAATAGAATAGTTACCTTACATTTTCAGTAGACTGCCTACATCTCTAAATCCAGCAACTTCCATGAAAGATAAAATGGGACTTTTCAGGACGAAGCAGACCAGTCACAGCCAACATGCCCCTGCAGTCATTAAATGCCTCACTGATGCTAAAACCAGCTAACTTAGTAACCAGGCTGTTTTGCATTTCTTGCATATAGTAGGTTCAATAATCATGAACCTATTTGTAGGTTCCAGACGATCAAACAGACACACATTTTTCTGTTTTGTCTGTTGGACATAAAAGTAGTTTTTCTTTTTTCCACTTTAAAGTTGTAAAAGCTCACAGACTTCGTCACAGCAGCTTCCTCTGACTTGCCACGACTCAGCAACATCCATATGAAGGTTTTTGTTCCCATACGGCTCGGTGAGAACCGGCAACAATGCGGCGTGCGCGTCTTTGATGTGCAGGAGTTGCGAGCACAAGGCCACTTCCCTTCGCTGTGGCCTCCATCGAGGAGCCAGACTGGGGTCCCGGGGCCCCTGTGGATCTATTAAAGGCCAGAGGGGAGCGGGGGACAGTATCACCACTGTCTACCACATCCTTCTCAATGGCTGCGCCTCCCTCCACCTTTCCCCCCGCTCCTTCCTGACCCCGCGGCCGCTCCCCGCCCGTCCAGGTGTGGCCACACAAACACGGCAGGAAACAGAACATTTCCAAGCTTTCCTGTCTGCGTAACGATGGTGGACACTTCAGTCTCCTCCCCCGCTGGCCTCTACCCCGCCAAAGGATGTCATTAAACACCATTTCCTTATTTTGAAAGGGTATTCGCCTCTCTGTTTTATACAAGAGTCGACTTCCTAAAAAGATTAGGTTTGTGTAGAAGTTCCTAAAGCTTCCCAAATGGCCACTTGGGACTCGGTCCAGAACGCAGTCCGCCTCACAGTAACCGTACGCAATAAAACCCTGCCTGAACATCACTCTTTTTTTATGCTTTATTTAAGTTACACATTAGAAAATGTTTTTGACACATCGATGATTTGGTTTACAAGAATGTCCTGGCACAGATGACGGCTGGAAAAAAAAAACAAAAAACGTTTCATGGTTGGTTCTGATCCAACAAACTGTGGAGAAAGAACCAACGGAGACTCGATACAAAACCGTGTTCAGAAGAAACCAGTCTTCATACAGTAAGGTGACTGCAGCTGCTACATTGTGTCGATGTCAGTAAATGCAACACCCGTTTACTGACTGTGCTGATAAAGTTTGGGCTGAATCTCAGCACTTTGTGTTAGACTGGATCAACAGCTTTTATTAAGCTTTGTTTTCAATGAAAGACATACAGACATGCATCACTGAAGCATAGCTTAATTCATAATCTGACATAATTGGTGGTGTTCTAAATGGACACAGTGTTGACGCACTTCATTATCGGTGTACGTCGTCTTGTCCTTGTTCAGAACGATAGGCACTGAGGGAGCCATCTTCTCTGGACACCAGCAGGCGTCCTCAAACGCCAAACAACCAGCCAGCTGGCTACTGAAGTTCTGTCCAGTCTGACCCAGCTGGTCGTATTTATCTAAACCACTGAGTCGCAGCTGGTTTTCCACATATTCCTGTCCTCTTCAACGTTTTATATCTCAACAGTACCCAACTGTCTGTGGTCGTCTCTTATCTGTACCAGTGGGCTCCCGACTCATTTCTACCGGCTGACTGAATTTTCTGCAACGCTACTTTCCCGGTTCTTTCCAGGACCCCTCCCTTTTCCTTGATCCCGATTACAATCCATAGATGCTACAGTTTTTTCTCTGCAGCCTCTTATCACTTTGCCTCTTAAAATCTTTTTTGGCTTGAAATGAAACGCGTCGTCATCATCACGTCTTGTGGCGGTGCGCACGATCCATTCCACCCCAACAATAACAAGCTGCCGCCACGCTGCTCTCCCTTTTGTCTGTGTTCATTAGTTTGATCAGATAAGCTTCCAGCTCTCGCAGACGTTTGTTGTGGCTGTTTAGCTTCCTCTTAATGTCACAACAGGCTTCGTTCCGATTGGCCAACTCGGCCGCTTGTGTGACTGCATCAGTAGCCGTGCCAAGTCTGAAGTCGGGACTTCGCTCTCACAAGGCCGGAGGTATAAAAGTACAGCCTGAGTCGCAACAATGGGATTGTGTGAAAGTGTTAAAGCCTTAATCACCAAAGTCTTACAGCTGGCACATTTTTAACAGCAAAACAGCCTAATAAATACTATATTATGACCTTGTTATTACATTGGCAGTCAGTTTTTGACTGAATTTTGACTGCAGTTGTCCCTGCTGTGGTCCTCCAGTCACAGGTGTTTGGATTGAGGTGTTTCACTGATGCATTGGGGCTGCAGGTGCCACTAAATACATCCTGTATTAATTGGTGTTGTGTTTTTCAGTAGCGTAATTTTCGGGGTGGGCGACATGGATGTAAAGTTTTATCTCTATGTTTTGCGGTACTATTCTGATAACAATAAAAGTGACAACAAGAACTATTTACTATAACTGTGACTGCATGGCACAGCAGTCAGAGCTCTTGAAAACCATATCAGTTTGTAATGCAAATTGTTTTTTTGTTGTTGTTTTTTTTATAGGAAATAAGCATCACAAAAAAAAAATATTTATATCGCTAAACTGAACACAGTAACTACACTTAATCATATTTTCTTTTTTTTCTTTTTTTACATATTTATTGACTGTCTCATTGAACAAACTGTGGAGAAATAGCAAATCCGACACTACTCATAATTTCAGGGGATTCCATTAAGTGGAATTTATCATGACAATAATGAGTCAAAATTCTTTTAAGAAATTTGTCACGATAAATGATAAACTATATGATAAATGCTCACTCCTGTGTTGTTTGTCGTTGTGGTTTCTGTTGTTTTTTTCCCTCTTGTTGTCTTGTATTCTCTTTATCCTTCTTTCTCTTCTCATCTTGTGAAAGTAAACTTGTCATAGTTCTCCTTGGCACTCAGACAGCAACGCTGCTACACTGTTAGAGAGGACGCGCTCAAAAAAATCTCACCTCACAACATTTTTTAAATTGTTTGTCGTTGCTCAGCGAAGCTTTAGAAAAATGCATTTTAATAACGAGCACATTTTTTAAAAAGATCTATAAACGTTAAATCCACATCAGTTCACCAACACCAGTGCAGTGAGAGGATGCCATTCATTGCAGTGTTTTATTCTTACAAGACAGGAAAATATTTACAAGTCCAGCCTTAGGGAATCAGTCCTGACTGGCCGACTTCCCCTCTCTCCTCTCTCTGTGTGTTCTGTCCCACTCACCCGCACACGTCGTAGAGAACCAGACAGTTCCCTGAAGCCCTCCCCTCACCCACCTCACCCGCCCAGGACTGAGAAGACTGGGGGTGGAGGTGGGGGGTCGACGTTGTTCTTCGGCTCCAGCCAGGAAGAGGGGTCTCGGGGGTTTGTTGTTTTTGCTGTCCGATAGCATCTACATGGGTTCCTCGGGCCCCGGCTGTTTATTATGCTGGCCAGACAGGTTGTGAGGAGCCGTGTTCGGGAGGGTGGAGCACATGCTCCGAGCTCCATCACCATGGAGACCTGCTGTCGACAGCATCCATCAGTCATCTGCCCAGAAAGTGTCAGAATTTGCACCCCGGAACGTCCGTGAGTCTTTGGGATCCCAACCGAGCCCCCTCCCCTCTCCTTCTGCTTCTCAGCTGGCCAGATGTTGCTTAATCACCGTCACTATCTCTTGTGATGTTTCAGAGCGTTAGGAATATCTTGTCGGGTCCACGTCTTTCTCTCGTTGCATATCTACAAGCCCAATTGCCAACACGGTCAATAGTTTGGTCAACGATTTAACAGACGGGCATAAAACCTTTTTAATCAAAGCACACAATCAAGATGAGAAAAAAATGTGTTTTTAACACTTTCCTCCTTCTGCTCTTGACATATTTCCACTTTTCCTGGTTCCTCCTCAGGAAGGGCTCCCGAAACCAAAACCCTTGGACTCGACAAGCTGGGCGTGCAGCTCAACCAAGAGACGGGGAAAATAGTCGTGGGCCCAGACGAATCCACCTCGGTGCCAAACGTCTATGCTTTCGGAGACATCGGCGAGGTAGGCCATCGTCGACAGGCGCCAGCCTGACAGCAGTCATGATGCCGATGACAATGAGGGGAGGAGGAGCACTCTATAATTACCACTCTTAATTCTGACGGGGAAAAAAATACACAAGATGCCATGACACGCCACACCCATCCAGAAAACTGGAAATAGTTCTCTTAGTTAAAGCTTTTGTGTCTCACTGTGCTATTAGTGCAGCAACATTAAAAACACAAACTTCAGTTTCATTCTATGGGAATTCTCCCTAACAGACCAACTAGAAGTTCAGCTGAATTGGAAAGCAGAAGGAAGAGGAAACTTATTTTCAAATAATTAAGTCAAAGGACTCCATGGTGATTGATGACAACGTGACTATCAGTCATGCACTCCATAAATCTGCCATTTATGAAACAGAAGAAGCATCATTGGCAGCTTGCCATGTAGGGAACGCAGCAAACCCGGAAGGAAAAAAAAAAATCTCTTTCCTGCTTGGAGAGTAATTTGTGTCGGGTAAAAATGAAAAACTAATATGGCACTTCAAGTGGAGCACACCGTCCCCACTAGGAAACGTGGTGGTGGCAGCATCATGTTTAGAAGATGTTTGCTTTCAACAGGAGCAGGAAAACAATCAGAAATCAGAGGTTCACCTTTCAGCAGGACAACACTCTTAAACATAAAGCTTGAGCTACTGAAATGTTTTATCCCGTCGAAGTCCGGAGACAAATATCATGAAACACACCTGACCGACGTGTTTGTATAAAAGGAGTGGAGAATATTTTCAATCTGTAGATGTGCCACGAAAAGGAGTGCTGTTGTTTTAATTTAGGCAATAAAATGTTAACATTCTTATTTAAAAAGGAATTTAAATATTTGGATTTTTAACATTTTTCTTATATTGTATAAACAAGGCTTAAGTGTCTAAATTAAAAATCTGCAGAGTGTGCCATTTCTTTTTATCTGATTAATTATCAGAATAATTGATTGAATTATAGATTACTAAAATAATCATTAGTCGCAGCCTTAAACATTGCAGTAAAATACATGGATGTTTTCTGTTTCCATGTCAGAAAACAGAAAAAGGCTGTGAAGACTTTTAACTTCTTAAAGCATTTAGTGTCCAGTCAGTCTGAAAACTTGATCATCTTTCCAAACGTTTGTTGAAGCCTTTAGTTTTGGCTTCATTTTAATCATTTCTTACCAGTTTCATGCTGACATGCAGAGTATTTTGCTGTATACAAACATGCAGGTGAAATGTTTAGGCTAGCTGTGATAGCTTTACTTGATATGTTTTACCAATCAAAACTAGCTGGGAAAAAGCCACTTAACCTCCTTCTGGGAGCACATTTAAAAACAGTTAAATGTTCAGATTTTCACAATATCTTGGCACACTGTAAGGGAAAAAATGAAATTAGAAGGAATTTTGGTTAAAATAAAAGAGCTGAAAGCTGGATGAGCGAAGCTCATCATCACTTGTGTAGAAACTCATAAGTTGTTGTCTTGTGAGAGTTTTTTTTTTTTTTTTTCTCACCTGGATTAACTTTAATAATGTGATTGTAGAAGCTCTGGAGCTGGCACTGTTATTACAAGTCAAACCTGCTGCATGTCAGCGTTGTTTTTTCTACCACGACCAACTAGGAGCTTCCTTCCTGCCTCCCAGGTCTCATGACGCACACACACACACACACACACACACACACACACACACACACACACATTCTCTGAGCCGCTTTGATTGACGGCTAGCTTTGATGAGTGCTTCTCTCCAATCTGTCTTCCAGCTTTTTCCCAACAGCAAAGGCGTTTTTTCCCCTCTTCAGGTAAAAACTGGTAGAATAGTATTTTTATTTATTTATTTATTTTTTTTTGGTAATCTTCCATGCAGTATGGTGACGCATGCTAACCGACTTGCAAACAGCGGCTGGAATGCCGCAGCGCGCCGCCGTATACGTGCGGAGGCGCTGGAGATGTTTGCTGATAACAGGATGTGTTGCTGATTTAACAAGTTGAAGTCGTGTCTTTAAAACTGCCCTGCAGCACTGCTGTTTCCTGAACGCCACAGTTGGTTGTGCGTCTCCATGGCTACGCGTTTGTCTGTTGGCAAGCAGCCAAAACAATAAAGAAAAACACACACGGGGAAAGATTTTCCAAATAATTTCACCCCTTTGAATTAATAAGCAGTTACTGAAATGATTGTTTACATCGTTTTATGCATCAAATGTTGTATGTTTTTTTTTTTTTTTTTAAATTACTAATGATCACAGTGTCATGTTCCTGGAACATTTCCACACTTTATCACGTATCATCCACGGAGCTCAGCGCATTTTACTTGGATTTTTATCTGATACGGCAACATAAAAACGGTGAATGATTGTGAAGTAGCATGAAAATTTTGCATGTTTTTCAAAATCCAACCTGAAGATGAGGCTGTCTATGTCCATTCTCCTTTACTCTGACACCCCAATAATAAAAATCAGGAGGAGGAAAGTCAAAGGAAGATTTTCTCACAGGAGAAAACTCTGCAAACATGTGGGAGAGATTTCAGACCAAAACCTTTTGAAATTCTGCAGAAAGAATTCCAGTATCATTTTCAGAGATTCCACTGACCTTGTGTGACCGAGCATCCGCTGTTTATATGAAGGAAAATAGGCTAAAACATTCCAGTGCCTGGATGTGCAAAACTGGTCAAGAAAAAGAACTGGTTCTACAAAAAACCCGACTCAGATTCTTCAGCTGGAATAATTTAGAAACCCTATTGCATTTTGTCTCATCTTTGTCTGCTGATAACATTTGGCACTATAAGACGCTTTTTTTTTTTTTTCATCGTTTGGCTGGTCCTTCTTTATGTATTTGTTTTTTTTCTTCTCTTTGTGACACGTTTTTTGACTGATGTGTTAAATGCTCCTTCATACTGATGGACATGAATCAAGGAGTAAACATTAGCGAGGCCAGCAGAGCACTGACAGCAGAGTGTCAGATTTCCAAGCCAAGGTCAACAGATTCTGTGAGTCGGTTTAAAATCAGGCAGCTGAACACAAAGTGTCACCTGATCATGTTCTCAACATGAACAAAGTCCCACTCAGGTTGATCATTTCTAAGAAAGGAAAAAAAAAAAGAAACCTATACATACGTTTTTTTCCCCTCTACCTGACATAATTTTTTAACTGATTAGACTTATGGTCCAGAAAATCTTAACAAAACTCACAGAGGATATTAAAATTTAACAAAATCAACGTTATTGCATTTCTGACGGGCAAACTAAAATGAACCTTTTGAGACTCCATAGTTGCTATAGTCACACATGTATTACAAGCCATTTTCTGTGGGTATTTTGAGTTAATGCAGAGTCTGGGATGATGAAGTTGTTGTCTTGTGAAAACTTTTGATGTATCATAGTTTTACCCTTTGCTAATGTATACATTATTAAAACTGCAGTGTGTAACTTTTATAAATAGTATGATTTTTACATATTTGTTAAAACTGCCATGTCGTGAGAGTTTGAGGCAGATAACCTGTGAAAAGCTCCATCTCCCCCATCTCCTCCCTGAGTTGCCATCTGAAAAAACATGCATCAAAAACAACCAATCAGAGCCAGGAGGAGGATCTTGGCGCTGTCAATCAACCTTATGTACTGGTTTCTAAATGTGAGGAGAAACAACTTTACAGGAAAACTGTTTCTCCGCCGTCATCTGTGATCATGCATTGGTCTGTTGTTACTTTTCATTCATATGTTGAATGAAAAGTTTAATATAACAACAGATGAATTGGAGCAACTTCACATTTCTCTTTGCTTCAGGGTCGTCCAGAGCTGACACCTACTGCCATCAAGGCAGGAAAGCTCCTTGCCCACAGGCTCGCCGGCCAGAGCACCGACCTTATGAACTACGACAACGTAAGACACACACACACACAATCACACTCTCACACTAACAGTAATAAAAGCCTTCATCTCTCCGCACCTCAAGCGCGTGTGGCTTTTTACGTTTATCGTTTTCTGCCAATGTGAGGCTGTTATTTGGTTGGTCTCTCATCTGAGCCTCCCCTCCATCTAACTGCTAGTCTCTCTTTAGGATGATTCATAGCATAGTGTACCAGCATTTTCCACGACGGCGTCGTCCTGCGTCGTTCTCGGTATACGTACTCGTCTGTCAGCGGGTTGCAGTGAAGGTTTTATTACAGCGCCTGTGTTCAAAACAGATTAAAGGCTTGTTTTAGCTGTGTGTATTGAAGTATTTGTCTTAAAATTCATCTTCACATATAAATATTTTAAGCAAAGGAGCATTTCTGTCGTTATCGAAATGAACATGGGCAGTCTCCACCTGCACGCGACGCTTTGGCAGTTTTGTAATTAGACGCTGCGTGGGATTTTCCCGAAAGAAATGAGCGGGGCCGTTTTGGCAAAGTGTAAACGTTCCCAATTGTGTTTGTGTGTGACAGGTGGCCACCACCGTGTTCACCCCTCTGGAGTACGGCTGCGTCGGCCTGTCAGAGGAGGAGGCCGAGAGGAGACGTGGGAAAGACGGGATAGAGGTGGGATCAGTCATTCTCATCCCGCCCTGGTCTGGAGCGTTAAATAATGGAATTTTTTTTTCTTTTTTTACCAGAGTTATTTAATAATAACACCATAAAAAAACTTCAATGCATAAAACATAAAAGCCTCAAAATTTGAAATAGTCTGAAATATATAAATATAAACATCCTTCCTACGTGTTTAAACACCCTCAGCAAGCTGTGAGATCCAGCTTTTCAGCATGTTTCATTCATTTTAAATAAAAATCAACTTCCATTATAAAAAACATAATGTTGCTCTCCAGAATCGGCTTGGATCATTTCACCATTGAAACACAAACAATTGGAGGCAGAACTTTATTATTCCCACAACCACTTCTGGCAATAAAATGGCCACTTAGCATGATGCTACCACGTTGGTTGAAGGTGCCATAGTTAAGTTGGTAAGTAAGTAAACTACTTATATGGCACATTTTACAGGTCAGAAACCACAAACGGCTTTGGAAAATATAAGACATAGAAGATAAAATAGAAGGACTAATTTGTCTTGTCATTATGGACTGACAGGTCAGTCTTTCTCTTGTCTGATGCTAAGACGTTTTCCAGAGGGCATTTGGCAGCGGCCACGTTCAGTTGACCTTGAAGTAGTTGATCTGTTGGTTTAATGGTCTTTCTTTGTTGCCATCCTTATATTCCAGGTTATACCTGCTTAACGCACACAGGTGACATTGGTGTTCCAGTAACTTCCATTTTATTGAACCTTGGTCACCACTAAGAGTACAGCCTGACTTTATGTCTTCTGACCTGGACAGTTTGGGTCAGATGAGGTCCAAGAGGGCACTGCTGAAAATGTCTACACTTATGGGAAGAATAAAAATAATCTTTTATAGTCAGACAGCATCTCTCTGTGTGTGTCTTTCCTCTCTGTCTCTCCTTTTCTTTATTTTCTCCTTCTTACTTGCTTCCCATTCTCCCACTGGATCTCTGGCTGGCCCACTTCATTTCAGATCAATCAGAAGAAAGATGTCAGCAAAAATTAAAAGCTAATTTAAGACCATTTCAGCCAGGAGAT